GTTTGGAAACAGTAATGTATAAAGGCATCAGCATGAGTTATAAATAAAAGACAATAGATCAGTCAGGCAAACAAAGGGGGGACCAGCAGAGGGCAGCAAGGGACTAAGCTCCCTTAAGTGAATACTATACTAATAGCAGGAGTGTAAGAAAATAAGATAGACATTCTAAGATAAATGCAAGTGCAGAAACATAGATTTATGCTAAAACAAGACCCTGGCTCAATCTGAAAGATAGAGATAATGCCCTCAGAATGGTCACAATACAAGGCTAAAATTATTCCACACTGACAGGGCATCAGGAAAGGTGTGGAGTAGCGATGTATGTCAGAGGACAATTGTAAATTTTTGTGTTAGGACAAGATATTACATTAGAAGCGTCAGCCACTGAATCTGTTGGTTACAGCTTCTCGAGGGCCGAGAAAAACTAATTTTGGGTGTGATTTATCAGGGCCCTAAAAATCCTGAATAGGGAGTGAGTTAAACTCTATGGGACAAATTCGTAAGGCATCTACATACGTAAAATGTTGTTTGCTAATGGGAGATATCAACTATAGACAGACTGACTGGAGCAAATTTGAGCAGGAAATTTAGAGTAGGTAACTTTCTTGATACGATCCAGGATAGTTTATTTAAAAACAGATTTGTGACAGAGCCAACTAGGGGAAACAACCTCCTTGACTTGAGTTTCTTGCCAGTAGGGAAACACTAATTTAATAAACTTGAGGTTATGATGACTTGGGAAAGTGATCAAAAATCCTCAGTTTAATAAAATCAGAATTTCCCCTAATAAAGGCAATCAAGAGTCATGTCCCTAATTTTTTAGTTGTAGCACAGTTAGAGTAAGAGGTAGATGGAAAAAGAGGAAGGTGGAAACAACAAGAAAAGAGGGAGATGAAAGTGTATAAACTAAGGGAGGGGGAAGTTCGGGTGAGATCTAACGACTTTTGGCAGAAAGGGGGGCTAGTGCAAAGATGAGTAGTGGGGGTGTTAAGGGGGTTTGGGAAAGTTTTAAAAATGCTATTAAATGTGGGGCAGAATTTGGGTTATAGGAGGGTGGGGCGGGAGGAAAGAGGAGTGATTGGGGGAATGATGAAGAAAGGGGTGATAAAAGAGAAAAAGGTACTTAGAAGGTTTTTCAAAGCAAAGGTTATAAGAAGAGCAGGTATAGGAGAGTAAAAAAAAGGTAAAGAGAGTGGTGAGAGAGTAAAAAGGAAGCAGTGAAAGAGGGGGAGAGGCCTGTCAAAAAATTTTAAAATGAAAATAAAAAAAAATTTTGGGAAGTGAGTTAAAAAAGTTAAAAGCCCGGGGAAAATAGGATTTGTCATTAAAAAACAGAGGGGGAGTTAGTAGAGGGGAATGGAGGTATTGGGTAGATGGGGGAAAATATTTGGGGAACTTTTAAATGTTAAGGAAAACAAGGCAAATTTTTCATCACTGGCAGGGAGGTATACCATTTTTTAGGAGTGAAGAAGGCAAAGGGATGTGGGGGGGGTGTGGGCTTTACGTAAAATAAAGGGGGGGTAAAAGCAGCGGAAAAACTGATGGATCATGACAGAAATGTTAAAAGCAGGGGAGATTAGTGTTGGAGGGGTTGGTACTTTTGTTTAAAAATGTAAAAAGAGGGGAAGGTCCTGGGTTTTTGGCGAGAGCATTATGTCCCTTCAAAAAAGGGAAAGGGACAAAAAGACTGTAAAAATTATAGAGGAATAAGCTTACTGAGTAACCGGAAAAGTACGGTAGGGGTTTTAATTGAAAAATTTTGAGGGAAAACAGAAAGTGGATTGCGGATGGGCAAGGAGGTTTTAGAGTGGGTAGGGGATGTGTAGATCAGGTGTTTCATTGAAACATATATTGAACATATTTAATAAAGATAGGGAAGTTTTTATTTCATTTATGGATTTAGAAAAGGTATGATAGAGGGATAAGGAGCAAAAGTGGCAGAGTTGCAAAATATATGGGAAAAGGGGGTAAGTTATTAAATGCTGTAAAGAGTTTTTTGAGGATAGTGAGGTTTAGGTTTGGGTGTTAAAGAGAGGGAGACTACTTCCCGGGAAAAAATAGGGCTTTGACAGGGATGTGTATGTCACCATGGTTTTTTTAATTAAATTTTTAAAATGGGGTTTAAAGGGAAATAAATGCGGGTGTTTGGGGGAAAAGGGGGTGGGGTTAAATTATGGGGGAAACAAAATTTCAAATGGGAATTGACACAGTTACTTTTTGCTGATGATACTGTGCTTAGGGAGTTCAAGAAAATTGCAAGGTTTAGTGGATGAGTTTTGAGAATGTGTGTAAAGGTAGAAGTTGAAGTGAACATAGAAAGAGTAAGTGATGGGGGTGTCAATGATTTAGATAAAGAAAAATTGGATATCAAATTGGGGGAGGGTTTATGGAAGAGTAATGTTTTCAGATACTTGGGAGTTGATGTGTCGGCGGAATGGATTTATAAAGGGATAGGTTAATCATAGAATTGTTTGAGGGGAAAAAAGGTGGTGTGAATTGAGGTATATGTGGAGTCAAAACGTTATTTGGAGGAAAAGGGAAGGGAATGTATGAAAGAAAGTAACCAACACTCTTATAGGGGTTTGTGAAGCTTGGGTGGAAAAATGCAGCAGCGAGGGGGAAACGTTGGGGGGCAGTGGAGATGCCCCTGTTTAAGGGCAATGTGTGGTGTAAATATTATGCAGAAAATTCGGAGTGTGGAAATTGGGAGAAGGTGTGGAGTTATAAAAGTATTAGTCAGAGGGCAGAAGAAGGGGGGTTGTTGAGGTGGTTGGTCATTTAGAGAGAATGGATCAAAGTAAAAATGAATGGAAAGCAAATAAATCTATAGGGAAGGAAGGCGGGGTAGGGGTCGTCCTCGAAAGGGTTGGAGAGGGGGGGTAAAGGAGGTTTTGTGGGTGAGGGGCTTGGACTCCAGCAAGCGTGCATGAGCGTGTTAGATAGGAGTGAATGGAGACGAATGGTACTTGGGACCCGACGATCTGTTGGAGTGTGAGCAGGGTAATATTTTGTGAAGGGATTCAGGGAAACCGGTTATTTTCATATAGTCGGGCCTTGAGTCTGGAAATGGGAAGTACAATGCCTGCACTTTAAAGGAGGGTTTGGGTATTGGCAGTTTGGAGGGATATGTTGTGTATTTTTATATGTGTAAAGCTTCTAGACTGTTGTATTCTAGCACCTCTGCAAAAACAGTGATAATGTGTGAGTGTGGTGAAAGTGTTGAATGATGATGAAAGTATTTTCTTTTGGGGATTTTCTTTCTTTTTTGGGTCACCCTGCCTTGGTGGGAGACGGCCGACTTGTTGAAAAAAAAAAAAAGTAAACATTATCAGGTTTTTATAAGTATTTGAGAGAGAGAGAGAGAGAGAGAGAGAGAGAGAGAGAGAGAGAGAGAGAGCGAGAGAGCGAGAGAGAGAGAGAGAGACAGAGAGACAAGAGAGACAGACAGGGCAACAGACAGACAGAGACAGAGACAGAGGGCAGAGACAGAGAGAGAAACAGAGAAAAACAAAAAGAGAGAAACAAAAGAGAGAAACAGAGAGAGAAAAAGAGAGAGAGAGAGAGAGAGAGAGGGCAGAGAGAGAGAGAGACAGAGAGAGAGAGAGACAGATAGAGAGAGAGACAGATAGAGAGAGAGACAGATAGAGAGGGCAGATAGAGAGACAGACAGATAGAGAGAGAGACAGATAGAGAGAGAGAAAACAGGAGAGAGAGAGAGAGAGAGAGAAGAGAGAGAGAAGAGAAACAGAGGGCAGAGGGAAGAGAGAGAGAGAGATTTGCTAAGAGCTATATCAGCTTGGGGGAAATAGACGGCAAGTAACATTTGCACCTGAGAAAATGCAAATGATGATCATCTCTAGGCACCATGATGGTAATGCTGGTGCAGTAGTAAGGATGAATGGGAGGGTGTTGGCACCTGGAGAAGAAGTTGATATCCTTGGGGTGAAATTTGACTCCAAACTAACCATGAAGAACCATGTTGTAAATCTTGCAAACAAGGCAGCCAGGAAGCTTACAGCACTTCGCCGTATCTCCCATCTGCTTGACAGTAGGGGTTGCAAGATCCTGTACGAGGCACAAGTACGCTCGCACCTTGAGTATGCTCCACTTTCTTGGTTTGCCCCTCTCATCTGCGACTGCTTGACAGAGTAGAGAACAGAGCAAGACGTCTCATCTCTCGCCTGGACCCATCCTGGGTAGATCTGGCATTTCAATAGAGCTTTCAACACAGGAGGGATGTGGGTGGCCTTACTGTTATGTACAAGGCCAATACTGTCAAAGTACCACACTTGGATCCACTTCGAGGACAGCGTGAAACAAGCTTTTATGCCACAAGACGGGCAGAAAGCAGCAACTTCACTCTGGCTGTACCCTTCTCCAGAACATCACTCCATCTGAGATCATATATACCCAGGATGACTCGTGTATGGAACACATTCGTACAGCATAATGATGTCAACAAGATAAAGTCAGTTGATCAAATGAAAATGCTGGCCCAGAGATGGCTCCAACTTCATCCTGTTCCCTACTTGTATGTCTCATAACAATAAAAATGCTTTCAAATGAGCTGATGTAGGTAACAGCTCTTAGCTTGCCAATAAAGTTAGGAATCCTTAACCTGTAAATAGCTTGTCAATAAAGCTAGGGATCCTTAACCTTGTCAAACCCTATGTAAAAAAAAAAGAGACAGACAGAGAGAAACAGAGAGAGAGAGAAACCACCCATCTATGTTTCACTTTACAGCAGTAGTCTAGAATCTAACCTGCTGTATAAACTGGGCCATTCTGTATATAAAACTCGCTCAAGACACAATTCCAGTAGTGTACGTTGATGTTGAAGGGTTCTTGATCCAAGGAATTTGAAGTACCCTCCCAACTCTTTTGGATCACACCTGATTACCTCCCATTCCCCAGGTGCTGCATAACTTTCCCAGGGAAATAATATATTTTTTTTTACCTGGAGTGGTTCTATACTTAACAGTTATCAATGCAAAGTCATACCTTGCAAAAAATTGTCCTGGATTTCATATGGCTCTTCCTGAAGGAGGAGGCTGGAGGAGACAGTGAAGGAAGCTAACTGATATGGACTTTCCGCAACAATGTCCTGAGTACACTCCACTCGCTCCCATACATCATGTCGGAACATCTGGCATGACTGGTTACTTCTGTTGATAACAACATCCTAATGTGTTAATCACTATCATCTTTAGCATCACCTGTATACATCCTAACTGTCATCAAGGACATATATACACTTCGCAAAGGACTTATATTCTTCATCACGTTTTATAACGAGGATGATCTGATTCATTTTCAAATCATGATTTCAGAACTAAAGGAGTACTTAAAGACCTTATTCTTACATGCCCTCTGGAAATGTATCTGTGAATTCCTACTAGATGAACAAATGCCGAAGATATCATAAAGGTTTGTCCACATCATCTACTCCTGCACAAACAAAGCTTCCAATATTCTCTCAAATCCCAAGGAAGGCATAATCACCGAGTAACAATTACTACTTCTCACCACTCCTTCACCGAAGAGCAATGTAAGTATCACTGTACTAGCCACTAAAACACTTCAGGCCAACAAAAACATGGACAGCAGGAGTGGTTGTGATCAATTTAATTCAAGGCATGACCTATCAGTAATTAACTTACTGATAGGTCATGCCTTGAATTAAATTGATCAAATCCAATGGCACAAACTTTGGTTAAATGAATCTAGGGTGAGCACAAAAACTAAACAGGAAACAAAGACTCACAGATAACTCAAATAGTGATAGCCCATGAGAGTGTGACTTACCTCAGGAAAGGAAGGTTGGTGTTGACAGTGTGGATGGCATGGTTGGCATGAGGGATGTAAGGAAGGTAAGTGTTGCTGTGACAATTGCTCTTCATCTTATGCACTACCATTAGTGATTCTTCATGGCTAATGACATACTTTGTCTCACACTCCCCAGACACATCCCTCTGTTGATTATTATCAATATTATTAGTTTAAAGGAAATGAGCTAAACCATTAGGGGTCATGCAGGGAATAGAAGGCAATCAAGTGTGATCCAAGGGAGGGGAAGGTCATTCAGATTTCCTCTCATGATGATTCCTCATTCATAAATGTAATAGTAAAGCTAACATTTTCAACTATCAAATTCTGTTACATTAATATACTCTATACACACATAACAAAGACGAATTTCACTGAGTAACATTAATAGCGTCATATAGATTAGAGTTACCTCTTGAATTATAACCTCTCTTTCCTCATCTAAGGTGGATAAACTTGTTTGTAATACTGAGAGAATTCCTCGCTTGAAGTTGGTGATGATAACATCTTCATTTTCATGAGGACACAGGTACTCAATCCTCCCACCTTGGTAACTGCAGTAACAAAATAAGCATTCAATAACATGGTGCTATGACTAGCTGCTTGGGAGCTGGTGACAGTGTGAGTAGCCTACACGTTTCACAGTTCACACTGGGAAAAACGATGCAATCAAGATCTAACTGTTAATTCATGTGGCATTTATTAAAGTGACTAATGACATGTTGTTTTATGGTGTTTTAGAATCTAGACTTTAAGCCAGTGCATACCCTGTAAGTAAGTATATAGACTAAGCCAGTGCATACCCTGTATGTAAGTATATAACATGATGTTTGAGAGTATTGTAGCAAAGTCAAGCACATTATTACATAAGAAATATCAATATGCTTTAACATTTACTGTGATTTTGTACAGTTGTGGGGCCTGTGTAGAAGTCTGGACTGACTATGGAAGTTGGGTAGCAATTCTAAGCAATGTTTTGTATAGTATATGTCTTTTAGTTACTTGAGATGACACTCTTGTAAGCAACCTACTAACTCAGACCACTAAGTCCAGGGCAGGTTAAGTCCCTGCTGCTGTTACCTACCATATCAGCTATGCTGATGACATTATGATCCATACAACAGGGCAGCAAAAGAAGATGAGTACCATTTTTAATGAAGTTCAGGTAATTTGTAACTGATTAGGCCTCATAATATCATCCTCTAAAACAAAGATATTGACAAGCAAACGACATCTCCCACCCATCTATCTGCAGGGGTGAAAACATTAGTCGTGTTAAATCTTACAGATATCTTGGTGTAGATGTACCCTTTAATAAATCCACCATACCACAACTAAATAAGAAGTACAATAATAGGTTAAATGCTCTCAAAGCTGTTGCTGGCCACAACCCCAACTATGGTGCTAATGTGAGAATTGTGAGAATGATGTACACTGCCTATGTTAAGTCCTTAATTGATTTTAAGAACATAAGAACATGAGAAAGGAGGAACACTGCAACAGGCCTACTGGCCTATGCAAGGCAGGTCCAATTCTCCCACTGGCTTAAGCTCACTGACCTAGTGACCTTAAGCTGTCTGATCTCACTGACCTAGTGAGGTCAGAACATGGGTATGTTTATGCAACTTGCAATGTGAACAGACTGATGGACGTTGCAGTGGCCAGGCTTAGGCTTGGTTACAAGTACTTCTGGCAGTTTAGGAGACACACAGATGATGATCAAACCAAATGCCAATAATGTGGTCAGGCATATGGTCACTGTCTTGAGCACTATTTGCTTAAATGTCCACTTGTTAAGGAATATAGAGATAGACAGTACAATCATATGTGACACGTCAAGATATGTATCTTATTAATGAAAATAAGACACCAGATATACTAAGAAAATTTCCTAAATTTGCTTGTAACATAAGTGAACTGTAGATATAAATCCAATTGTACTCCTGTTAACCCTTTTGGTGCCTAGTTCCTAGGCCTTTTGTGTATCCATATGCTCTTGCACTACCGTCCAAAGGATGGATATAGGGTGCACAATAAACTAGCAACTTCAGTGGCAAAATCTAAAAACCTAATCTAAATCTAATCAAAACAGCTAAAATATAGTCACCCATACATTTTGTTGTAGGTAGATCCCACTGCCTAAACTACTGTTCCAGTATTATCTTTAGATGCGAAAGAGTTTTCCTGTTTTTTGTGTAGAAAAGCTTAAATATCATGTCTTATGATCTGATATTTATATTTTATAAAGTAAGAGAGTAAGAGAGTGGGAGGCTTTCTTCAAGTGGCCAGAAGCTCCGCAGAACGTGTTATCATACAACTAAGAGATAAGTTGGAATAATTTTTCCACTTCCATCTGTTTCACTGAACAATGGCTCTGCTAAAGCAGTTAAGATTGCTGCTTCTGATTCATTATAATAATGCAAAGATTAATATCAATATATGTACAGTGGACCCCCGGTTAACGATCTTTTTACATTCCAGTAGTATGTTCAGGTGCCAGTACTGACCGAATTTTTTCCCATAAGGAATATTGTGAAGTAGATTAGTCAATTTCAGACCCCCAAACATACACGTACAAACGCACTTACGTAAATACACTTACATAATTGGTCGCATTTGGAGGTGATCGTTATGCGGGGGTCCACTGTATTTATACATTTAATGAAGAGTAGTTTCATCAAAGATAAAATTAATGTTACTATATGAGCAGCAAACACTCTTTCTATGCATGAATTCAATGAAGTGATAATTGATGCAACACCATCATACCTGAAGTGGAGGTCGTGGTTCTGGGTAGCTTCAATGAACCACGAGGAGTCCTCGTCAGACACGTCCTCAACCACCACATCCACCACCTGACCACCACCACAACACACACAAGTATTATTATAGTGATTTAATTTCTACCCATTTTGCCTATGTAGAAAATGTTTCAGCATTTTCAAGGAATTTTCCCTACATCACATATATCAAAGGTGTTGCAAATATTTCAACCAATTATATATAAAGCAAACAGATAGAAAAATAATTTCTAGAATAACATGTGAATTTTGTTAAATACAAATATGACAATTTTACATTTTTCAAGAAAGCTAAGAAATGCAACTACAACTTTATCTCAAAAGCTGCTTCCATTATAAAATTGGATCAAACTGTATTCATTGGCACATAATTCATGAGTGACTGCGAATGCTTCAATACACAATTTCAGTGGTGCCTCACCAATTCAGCTGAGCGTGCTGACACCATAACATTAAATCTCTGCCTGGGTGGAGAGTTGAGAGCATGGGTTTGAACTCATTGCTGGGTCATGAATATTTATACACATACACACACATACATACATGTGTGTATGTATGATTATTTGATAAATACATCATCAACTTTCATTGCCAAATAATTTAGTTTTAATAATATAAATACACTATGGTAGGATTGCTGGTGTCTTTTTCTGTCTCATAAACATGCAAGATTTCAGGTACATCTTGATACTTCTACTTACACTTAGGTCACACTACACATGCATGTACACGCATGTATATACACACCCCTCTGGGTTTTCTTCTATTTTCTTATTATTTCTTGTTCTTGTTTATTTCCTCTTATCTCCATGGGGAAGTGGAACATGATTCTTCCTCCGTAAGCCATGCGTGTTGTAAGAGGCTCTGGTCGCCTGGTGGCTAACACTCTCACTTCACATGGCGAGGGCCTAGGTTCGATTCCCAGCCAGAGTAGAAACATTGGGCGTGTTTCTTTCCACCTGTTGTCTATGTTCCCCATCAGTAAAATGGGTACCTGGGTGTTTGTCGACTGGTGTGGGTCGTATCCTGGGACACTGACATATTTTATTATTATTTTTTTATTATCACACTGGCCGATTCCCACCAAGGCAGGGTGGCCCGAAAAAGAAAAACTTTCACCATCATTCACTCCATCACTGTCTTGCCAGAAGGGTGCTTTACACTACAGTTTTTAAACTGCAACATTAACACCCCTCCTTCAGAGTGCAGGCACTGTACTTCCCATCTCCAGGACTCAAGTCCGGCCTGCCGGTTTCCCTGAACCCCTTCATAAATGTTACTTTGCTCACACTCCAACAGCACGTCAAGTATTAAAAACCATTTGTCTCCATTCACTCCTATCAAACACGCTCATGCATACCTGCTGGAAGTCCAAGCCCCTCGCACACAAAACCTCCTTTACCCCCTCTCTCCAACCTTTCCTAGGCCGACCCCTACCCCGCCTTCCTTCCACTACAGACTGATACACTCTTGAAGTCATTCTGTTTCGCTCCATTCTCTCTACATGTCCGAACCACCTCAACAACCCTTCCTCAGCCCTCTGGACAACAGTTTTGGTAATCCCGCACCTCCTCCTAACTTCCAAACTACGAATTCTCTGCATTATATTCACACCACACATTGCCCTCAGACATGACATCTCCACTGCCTCCAGCCTTCTCCTCGCTGCAACATTCATCACCCATGCTTCACACCCATATAAGAGCGTTGGTAAAACTGACATAATGTGCCCGAAATGCTCAGCATAACAAGGAGCTTTCTATATAGTAGTATGTCATTGATGTCAGCTAGGCCTATATACCATGTACATGTACTTGTAGTAAATAAAGATATTATCATTATTATTATTAAAATGCCAGGAGCAAGGGGCTAGTAACCCCTTCTCCTGTATGTTACTAAATGTAAAAGGAGAAACTTTCGTTTTTCCTTTTGGGCCACCCCACCTCGGTGGGATATGGCCAGTGTGTTGAAAGAAAGAAATACACTATGGAGAGTTTTCATTAGACTCAAAAGAAAAGTATACCTGCAGCTTGAGATCACAGGGAGTGTTGGCTGAGATGATGAGTGTAGCAGTGAGACTCATACTAGACTCGCCACTCTCCTCACTGGCTAGGATCTTGCTGCTCACCTTACCCTGGTACACGTACTGGTACTGCTGACCCGCTCTGAACACATCCTCACCTGTGTATAACATGCTTTGTACATGGAGTACATGGGAAAGAATGTAGAGGAACTGAAAATCCACACTGAAGCTATCTACTTCTGTTTGGATTAAAGACTACTGAGGGTTATCTATGTGTTGTAGGGGGACAGGTGATGAAAATGAGTTTTAGAAAAGACCTTTACTGAGATATTTCTCCTGTAGACAGGCATCTTCAGTCAATTGTCAGTGTACCAATGGCGCCCCTACTTTTCATTGGGAGTATTTTGCACCACCTGCCCAGTCTTTTACTTTGTGTGTGCAGATTCAGGACCATTCCTTCTAGGATTTTCCAAGTGTAGATTATGATATATCTCTTTTGCCTGCATTCCAACGAGTACAAGTCAAGTGCTTCTAAGCATTCCCAGTAGTTGAGGTGTTTGATGGAACTTATACGTGCAGTAAAGGTTCTCTGTACACTCTCTAGATCTGCAATTTCACCTGCTTTGAACAGAGACGTTAATGTACAGCAGTATTCGAGCCTAGAGAGAACAAGTGATTTGAAAAGGATCATCATTGGCTAGGCATCTCTTGTTTTGAACGTTCTCATTATCCATTCTAACATTTTCTTTGCATTTGTGATTGTGGCAGTGTTGTGATCCTTGAAAGTGAGATCCTCAGACATTACCACTCAAAGGGCCCTCATGTTATTTTCTTGCTCTACTGTATGATCAGACTTTGTACTATACTCACTTCTAATTATTATCTTCTCCAGTTTTCCATAACAGAATAGTTAGAATTTGTCTTCATTGAACATCATATTGTTTTCTGTTGTTCACTGGAAAACCTGGTTTATATCTCCTTGGAGGTTAACCATGTCTTTAATAGATGACAGCCTCATGCAGATCCTAATATCATCTGCAAAAGATGACTCGGTGCTGTGGATTACATCTCTGTCTACGTCTGATATGAGGATGAGGAACAGGATGGGAGCGAGTGCTATGCCTTGTGGAACAGAGCTTTTCACTATAGATGCTTCTGATTTACCTCTGTTTACCACTACTCTTTGTGTTCGATTCATTAGAAAGTTGAAGATTCATCTCCCCACTTTGCCAGTTATTCCTTTTGCATGTATTTTGTGCATGATTGCACTTGTCAAAGGTTTCTGCAAAGTCTGTGTATATTACATCTGCATTCTGTTTTTCTTCCAGTGCATCCAAGACCATATAATAATGATCCAGTAGTTATGAGAAGCAGGAGCAACCTGCTCTGAACCCAAGTTGCCCTGGATTGTGCAGCTTTTGGGAATCCAGGTGGTTTGCAATCATGCTTCTTAGCACTCTTTCAAAGATTTTTATGATGTGGGATGTTAGAGCTATTGGTCTATAGTTCTTAGCTAATGCTTTGCTGCTACCTTTATGGAGTAGAGCTATATCCGTTGTTTTTAGTGACTGGAATTTCACCCATGTCTAAATTCCTTCTCCACAGTATATGTAGGGCACACAAAAGGGATTTCTTGGAGTTCTTAATGAACAGAGAGTTCCACGAGCCTGGGTCTGGGACTGAGTGCATGGGCATGCTGTCAATGGCTCTCTCCAAGTCTATTGGATTTAGGGTAATGTCAGAAATCTGTCATACATTGATAGAATTTTGAGGCTCATTCCTGAAAAAATCATTTGGACTGTCGATCTTTAGACTGATTAGTGGCTCGCTAAACACAGAGTCATATTGGGATTTCAGTATCTCTCATTTCTTTGTTATCATCTGTGTAAGTCCCATCTTGTTTGAGTAAGGGCCCAATACTAGATGTGGTATTTGCCTTGTTTTTTGCATGTGAAAAGAAATATTTCAAATTTCTTTCAATCGCATTAATTACTTTTAGCTCCTCCTGTCAATCCTTGGTCCTGTATGAGTCCTTTAACTTAAGTTTGATACTTTCCACTTCCCTGGCCAGCACTTCCTTCTGTGTATCAGATAATCTAGAGTTCTTGAGGTCAGTGATTTTTTGTCGTCTTCTCTAGAAGGAGCATTTTTCTCTCTCCAGTTTATTTCTTTTCTTCTTTCTTAGAGGAATATGCCTTGAACATACTTCAGCTGCCAGTATGCTGATCCTTTCAAGGTTTAGATCCATGTTATTTAAGATATCTTCCCAACATGTTTCATTTAAGACATGGTTCACCTGATCCCAGTTGATGTTCTTCTTGTTGAAGTTGTATTTGGTGAAGACACCTTCACACCTATGTGCATTTTGCTGATCAGGACCCCTGTGCATGTAAGTCTAAACCTCAATTAGATTGTTATCAGAATTAGTTGTTTTTGATATTGTTATGTTTCTTACCAGGTCCTCATTATTTGTGAATATAAGGTCATGTGTGTTTTCCAGTTTTTGTTGGCTCCACCATCTGCTGACTTAGGGTGTGTTTATCACAGAGATTTAGTAACTTGTGTGTGTGACCTTTCATCTGTGCTGCCTCCAGAGACTGTTTCTGTTATAACATTATTTGCTACATTCTTCCATTCTGTGTGCCTTAGGTTGAAATCTCCAAGCAGTAAGATGTTTGGGGATGGAGCTGGAAGGCTTTACAGACAGTAATCAATTATCAGTAGCTGTTCCTTGAACTGTTGGGAGGTTGCATCTGTTTGGGGATGGAGCTGGAAGGCTTTACAGACAGTAATCAATTTTCAGTAGCTGTTCCTTGAACTGTTGGAAGGTTGTATCTGGTGGCTTATATATAACCACGATGGCTAGGTTTTGGGTCTTGATCTTTAGTGTTAGAACTTCAACTACATCATTTGTGGTGCACAGCATCTCTCTGCAGATGAGTGACTCTTCGATATACAGGCTAACCTCCCCTTGTTGCCTGTTCTTCCTGTCGCATCTAAAAAAGGTTGTACCCATTTATCCATATTTCATTGTCAAAATGATCTTTTGTGTGGGTCTCTGTGAAGGCTGCAAACATTGCATTTGACTCCTCGAGAAGTCCAGTGATGTTGTTGGTGGATGGCTTAAGGCCTGTATATTAGCAAATGTAAACGAGGTCATATTCTGTGTTTGTTGGGGGGGGTTGTTATTAGCATCAGTATTTGTGGTTCTGGAGGGACATGGGGAGCCACTTGCTGTGCCTCCAGTCCAACAAGGCTCCAAGTTGGTGGACTATTTTTGTTATTTCCTTCCATTTTCTGTCTTCTAGAGAAATTTAGAGCCAAAGAAGGACATTATAGCTCCTCTTCATTGAATTAAACTTGGTAACTATAGGGGTTTATTGCTACCTCAGGAATATAATACAGTAACTCTCTTTTTTAGTGTCTAAATCATTATTTACTATTGTTTAAATTTAAATTCTTATGCTATCACCATGAACTAAATTTTTGGGGAATTATTAGTAGTAAATTTGTCTTTTTAAATATTTTATACATATGTATATATATATATTAGATGTGACAAGAACAGGGCTATAAAAATGCACCCTGATCAAAATGATAATCTTTCTGTAGTTTATTTGAAATAACATTGAATTCCCATTTGATATACTCTTGAGCCTAGCAGCAAGACCAGCACAAAGTGCTTGAATGTGAAGAAAACAGTTGTGTCTTACCAGTGTAGCGGCAGGTTCGTGCACACACTGGGCTCTCATCTGAAAAAAAATATAACTAAATACAAAATTAATGGTGGCGCCATAGGGTAATTCGACCCCCAAAATTTCCCACAGCCCACCTACCCTCCTAAAAAAAAAGTAATAATAATAATAATGCTGCTTCAAAATAAGTCTCTTAGTCTTCTTTCCAACATGGTTTTAATGCCATTTGAAATCAAAACCTCCTTTTTTAATACACCGGCCATTTCCTACTGTGGTAGGATGACCTAGAAAAGAAGAAACACTTTCACCATCACTCATCACTACAGCTCAAATGACCTTCCAAACTGCAACATCTCCCACCCCTCCTTCAGAGTGCAAACACTGTACTTTTCACCTCCAGGACTCAAGTCCAGCTAACCAATATGAATCCTCTCACGTTACCTTACTTGCACTCCAACAGCACATCGTCATATAAACCACTCACTCCTATCTAACATGCTCACACACATTTGCTGGGTGTTCAAAAATATCTATTTTAAATTAGTTTTGCTTTAGCCAAGAAATATTTCATATAGAGAATCCACATAGACTACAATGTAAATTACTACATATGTGTACTAAACACTAAAATGCAATAAACACTGATCACAGGCAACAATGAATCCACATGGAAAAAATATAAGATTAGAGTACCACCTTCAGTCTATTGATGAAGGCCTCAATGGTAGGCTGAAATACACGGTACATTTATTTTCAATGTTATTTTGTTTACGTGGGTATGTCTGTACTATATATGTGGTGTTTAACTTTGGGTGTGAGAGCCTCACTATTCACCTGCTGTTAAGTCGGTGTCCTCTTGTTCAATGGCCTCATGTTCTGTGTTCTCTTGTTCAATGGCCTCGTGTTCCGTGTCCTCTCGTTCAGTGGCATAGTGTTCAGTAGCCTCATGTTCAGTGTCCTCATGTTCTGTATCCTCATGTTTGGTGCCCTCGCGTTCGGTGTCCTCACGTTCAGTGTCCTCGTGTTCGGTGTCCTCATGTTCAGTGTCCTCATGTTCAGTGTCCTCGTGTCCAGAGTCCTCACGTTCAGTGTCCTCGCGTTCGGTGCCCTCGCGTTTGGTGTCCTCATGTTCAGTGTCCTCATGTTCAGTGTCCTCACGTTCAGTGCCCTCACGTTCAGTGTCCTCGCGTTCGGTGTCCTCATGTGAGGTGTCCTCATGTGAGGCGTCCTCATGTGAGGTGTCCTTGTATTCCAGCAGGGGCTCCACATCTTTAGGGTTCTCCTGTACAAGGCTGTCAGAGTTATAATAGTCGTGATCAGGGCTCTCGTTACGTAGTCTGTCATTACTGGGACTTCCATTGCCTGGACTCTTTTGTCTATCATCATTGCCATGATGTTCATAGCTGGGATGCTCATATCCATCGTTTTCACTGCCGGGATTTTCAAAGCCTCGTCCCTCATTCCTACGTCTGTCACTATTGCGGTGAAAATAATGACGGCTGGGGCTTCGCTGTCTTTGTATATCATATCTACGATTGCCACGGTTATGACTTATTCTGTCATAACTAGGTCTGTCATAGTTATGACTGTCGTAGTGGACACTCTCTTGCCCGGATCTGTCAGAGGTGTGACGATCATACTTATGAGCTGGATCAAAACTTTGACTACTGTTATGCTTACTGGAAGTGTAAATTCGACTGTCATAACCATGTGTGTTGTATTCACGGGCTTCTAAGTCATTGTTCTCACGAGCATGGCGACTGCCATAGGCCTTGGAGATTCCTGAAACAAAACAAAACAGCATTAGCATGTGATGCTTTCGCTGGAGAATCAGTAAGCTGGGGGAGGAGGAAGATGGATAAATAAAGATGGAATGTGGAAAAAAGGGGTGGGTGGGGGTGAAGGGGGGGTTAATAAGGAAAGTGGCAAAAAAACTTTGGTGCATATTGTTAAAGGTAGGTGTTTTGTGTGTTTTTGTTTATTATGATAATCAGGTTTGAGTATGCCACCCCCCGTCAGGGGCCCAAAACAAATTTACGATTGTTTGCAGCGGGGGCATTTGAAAGGGTTAGTGGGTTTTGGTTTTTGTTTTCCCTTCTTTTGGCACAGGAGGAAAGTTTTTTGGGGGGTTGGTTTTGGGCACTTTGTGGAGTGGGGGTCGACTGGTTTGCCAAAGTGGTGGTCGGTTAAACCCTGTTTTTATGAGGTGGTTTCCCTGCCATAGAAGGCTGACGCCCATTACTTGGGAGTGGTCGTGGTCAGTCGTAAAGTGGGTCACAGACCCTGAGCGTTTTTGGGGTTTTGCTGGAGGGTTTAAAAAAGCATGGTTTGTTTCGGGTTTTTTTTAAAAATTGGGGTTGGGGGGTTTAAAGGGGGTTTCTTCTTCTCCAGGAGGGATTAGGAGACGGAAGGTCCCCCTTCAAGGGGGTCTGGGGGGAGGGGTGGGGTTGCCCGGGAGTTGTGGGGAATGAGGCTTCTAGGAGGGGTGCGTCTGTCTCTCGCTTTGGGGGAGGGCTGTAGGTGGGGGGGGTAGAAAGGGCTACGGGCGTGGGGGTGCGGGCCACCTGCTACAAGTGGGGGATTGGCCCCCAATAATGGGAGGCGCATCGAAAAAGGGAAAAGGAAAGAGTGAAATCTGAAAGTGGGAAAATTCGTTCTCTGTTCTTCAGGTTGAAGTACTTCAGGGGCCCAGTGAAGGAAGGGGAAATACTCCCCCTTTGCTAATAGAGGTAAGCGCTTTCTTGTGGTTGGTGCTCTCATTTTAAGTTATTTTGGGACCGTGCTTTTTGAAAAAGGGAAAAAGAAGATGAGAGACAGGGGAGTTGGGTTTCCCGGAGTGGGGGTTGGGGGCTAGTTAACAGGCTGGAAAAAAAAAATCATGTCAGGTAATGGGAAAAGCCCATTTCTGTCTCAAATGGTTTGGGGGAAAAGATATTTGGGAGGGTAGGAGAGAAGAGTGTAGATAAGTTCCGGTCAGTATTAAAATTTCATTAAAATCTAAGGGAGGGGTCCCAATCATTTGCTGCTTTTTGCCCAGAAGGGGAGTTGGAATTGAATGGTTGTCCCAGGGCTATTGGTGTAAATTGGGCTAGGGCAGATACTGCAAGGGAACTTGCAATCCCATTCATTGACAACTGGAACAACTTTTATGGCAAACATGATATGTATGCAAGGGATGGGGTACATCTCTCTGGGGCTGGGGTGGTAGCACTTGCAAACTCGATGAGAAGGCCATTGGTGAAATGCCTATGATTTTAAACTGATAGAAGATAGAGGTATGGTGTGTGTGGGAAACAAGCAGGTTGCAACACTAGGGTTGGAAACAGTAAATGTATAAAGACATTCAGCATGAAGTATAAATAAAGACAATAGATCAGGTCAGCAAACAAAGGGGGACAACAGAGGGCAGCAAGGGACTAGCTCCCTTAAGGTTACTATACTAATAGCGGAGTGTAAGAAATAAGATGCTAGCTAAGATTAATGCAAGTGCAGGAAACATAGATATTATTGCTATAACAGAGACCTGGCTCAATCTGAAAGATAGAGAGATGCCCTCTGAATGTCACATACAAGGCTATAAACTATTCCACACTGACGGTCAACAGAAGGGTGGTGGAGTAGCGATGTATGTCAGAGACAATTTAAACTGTTGTGTTAACAAGATATAATTTAGAAGCGTCAGCCACTGAATCTGTTTGTTACAGCGTCTTGAGGGCCGAGAAAAACTAATTTGGTGTGATTTACAAGGCCCCAAATCTTTGATGGGAGTGCAGTAAACTTCTATGGGACGAAATTCGTAAGGCATCTACATACAAAAATGTTGTGCTAATGGGAGATTTCAACTATAGACAGATTGACTGGAGCAATTTAACAAGAAATTTAGAGACAGGTGACTTTCTTGATATGATCCAGGATTGTTTTTTAAAACAGTTAGTGACAGAGCCAACTAGGGGAAATAACCTCCTTGACTTGATTCTTGCCAGTAGGGAAACACTAATTAATAATCTTGAGGTTAATAATGAGCTTGGGGAAAGTGATCACAAATCACTCAGTTTTAATATATCATGGAATTCCCCTAATAATGGCAATCAAGTCTCTGTCCCTGACTTCTGCTTGGCTGATTTCATAGGACTGAAAAATTACTTAGGTGGGCTGAACTGGAATGACCTGACTAAGGGTCAGGTAGGTGGTGATGGTTGCCGATATGACGCTCAGTCAAATTATGTTCCAAATTATGTACACTTATTTTCGTGATGTATGCCAAAGTGAAACAGTTAATTGATACTCTGACTTTGTCCGAGTTAAGTACATTAAAACTTCAGACATGTTGGCAAGTAGCCAAATATCTCGGTGTGACGTATAACAGGAATTACACCACAGAAACTGTCAGAGCGTTAATTAAAGATATATTGTTTCCTGCTCATACAGAGATGTTCGATTATGATTCTGATTCAGAAAGCCTAGTGTCACAATTAGGAAGTATGACTCTATTTGATGACATAGAAGAAGGAGCAACTAAGGCAGAAGTGAGCCTAGTGTAGCTCAGTTCTTGCTCACGCCTTCCCTCCTAACTGGTAGTATGACTCAGCCTCATACTAGTACCGTGTATACTACACCTGTATCTACTTATCCTAGACCAGATCTAGACTCTCTAGAGGCGGCTGGACGAGGTGTCCGACCTAAGGACCGTCCAGACTCATTCGTTAGATTCCTTACTCCTCCATTACCCACTGGTCCTATCTCTAAGGAACAGTTTGAGAGGTTTGAACGCCTCATTATGTTGCAGACTGCACAAATAGAGGCACAGAGGAAATTGAACGAAGAAGATTTCCAGAGAGAAAATGTTCGTCTGGGAAGACAACAGACTGATAGACCACAGGACACATTTAATGTGCAGAAAGCTGCATCCATGGTTCCTAAGTTTTTTGGAGTGATCTTTAGGACCACCTATTTTGATGTGTTTGAGAACCAGGCACGTCGCTATGATTCTGGCCACTCGTAAGCACTGGGCTACCTTGTTGCACAAAGCTTTCCACAGGAAGATGATCATAACTTGATACTGCTACTTTTCCCATTTGCCAAGCTACATTAGTTGATTGACATGTCAACGCACTATTCTAGAGACATATAACTTGTTACCTGCTATGTTATCAAAGCGCATTTCGTACTTTACCAGGCAGCAAGTTCAAAATACTAGCGGTAGAGTTTGCTCGTGACGAAAAAAGTTGCATTTGTGAGATGGTGTAGGTCTGCGAATGTAACAAACGTTCAGACAGCCTAGTTCAGTTACTACACGAAGAGTTTATACAACTGTGTGTACTAAAGGACATACAAGAATATCTGTTCGATCATACTACTCGGATATTCTGGAAACTGCAGCATTAGCAGACAATTATGAGATTTCTCACAAACTTGTACGTATCTAAACACAGAGAAACAAGGTACTAAAAATGTACTAGAAGTTGGCAAACCTAAATCAGCTGCTCTTTGCCGCCGGATGTACATGCTACTGTAACTTCTCGTCGTCCTTTTCCTAGACAACTTCCAATCTGAATCTGTCTTGTGGCTAGACTGAAATCTGTTATTGAGAAGAAGAAAGTTAAAATGTACCTATTGTAACAGATAAAGGACCTGATAGTGGAGTATTGCTATAAGTTGATAGAGATACGAGAAGCAGTCGTGCGGCTGGCACCCACCATCATAGTCGTATCCTCTTCGAGCTACAAAGGCTCCAGGAGAATCCTAGTAATACCCTCTGATACTAACTGTTTTTGATAATATTCTACAGAACAGATGACTTGCGTCAGAAAGGTGTATCTGACGAAAAGATTCGTCTGCGATGAGTCTTATTTTCGAGAGGTAAAGTAGATTTGACGAACACATCTGAGTTAATTACTTTCAGAGACATGGCAGATAATTAACAACCCTCACTTTTTTAAGAGAAGATGTACTGCCACATATACTGATGTTAACCTTTACCAAGTTCAATAATGTATTGTTAGGAGCCTATGGAGGAGCTGTTATAAAAGTAACCTTCAGCACCAATAGTTTACAGTGAAAACTAAGCTAATATACTGGTTATGTTTCAGTGGGTATATCCAGTGGTGTATTTCCATCAGCGTCGTGGACTTGTTGATAGGGAACGATATCTTACATGCTGGTATATGTAAAGAACCACTGTGATTGATAATAACACTGTTGATAATTATGCCATGTGAAGCTAGTAGAGAGAAACCTATTTTATTTCCTCTCAGCGCAATAACTAGAGGATATGTCAATGTAGTCTTCAACAACATATAACCTATGTGTCTCTGTTGATGTTTGTGGATGGACAATGATTTTGGGATTGACAATCATGTCTGTTTAGTCGATGCTCTGCGGCACAGGATCATTAACTTTAACTCCCCCCTGTCTTCTACCTAGTCAGACAAACTGACGTTAAATTTCTAACTAGTGTTGATTTAATCAAGGATCAGTATGTTGATCAGTCACTGGAATGATGAAGAGTTTTAGCTAGTTTACTGTGAGTGAAGCAAAGGATCTCCGTTAACTTGTTACTATTATAGTATCGGTGTACTGATGGAGAAAAATATAGGTAAGTTGTCAGCTGATAGTGTTGTCCACCACAGTCAAGCATCTCGTAGTGTTACACAGTACATTTGCTGAAAAGCCATGTTTTTGCTCACAATAGTCCCATAGGAGGACATTTGGGTGGCAAGAAGACACGCCCCGGTAATACTGGCAAGCATTTTACTTGCCACCGATGAAGGGAAAACAGTAGC